AGCTGGTCATAAACACACTTGCCGTGCACGGAAACGTATCCACTTCTCTTCACAACTGCCCCATCGCTGGTGGGGCAGTTGAGTGGGTGGGAGTATTTGATGACAGCAAATACCCAGGAAGGCACTCCGTTTTGGTGAGGCTGATGGTACGACCCGCATCTCTCAGCAGCACGCTCCAGGTTCAGCGGCCTTTGTCTCTCTGGTGGCGATGTTTACGCACTGCACCAGATACTCATTTTAGGCTGAATCGACCTAGGGGAGGCACAGGACCGGTTCAAGTAATCGCCACTGGTGTTGGTCCTGAGTGTGAATCGAACTTGGGTTGTTGGGTTCGAAGTGCCCTCACCCCAACACACGCATACAAATAAAGACAAAGATCCCCCCTATAGCCTGAACAGACTGTTGGGGCAAGTGCTGTTAACGAGCACCTATGAAGGCCGGGATGGCACACGAGGGGGTGGGGGTGGCCAACACCACGCCCGACCGCCTTTGTCTCCCTAGTGTAGATGCTTACACACCACACCAGGTACTCATTTGAGGCCGAGTCGACCTAGGGAAGGCCCAGAGCCGATTCAGATAATCGCCACCTGGTGTTGGCCGGGAAATCGAACTCAGGTCGCCGGGTTCGTAGCGCGGCGTAGCGCTAACCGCTAGACTACTGCTCCCCACATCCAGCCACACATATGCACACGCACACACACACACGTACGTACGTGCACAGCTGAGAACACCCACAGCTAGATTATAAGCTTGCTGCTTTCAAGTTATCTGCTGTTATCTGGCACTTGTGAATGCCAGCCTTGCCTTATCACAGCTGCTGTGGAGCTGCCTTTGTGGCAGGCAACCCACCACCCACCCCTCCCCTCCCACCATTTGTATGAAGCAAATCATGAAGACCTCAGAACACCGGGAATTGTGCGCGCGGTTCCGCAAGCACACGTGGAATCGCGTTTTCCCCAAGTCCACGCTGTGGCTCCGACCATTCCGCGGTGGAGGCAAAGGTGCGTCTTGTGTCGTCACTTCTCGGGCAACGCTGGTGGCTAAGCATTTACACCATTGGAACCTCATTTGCCAGTAAAAAAATATGATAGTTGGTTTTTTACCCTTTTATCTGGCAACAAAACTGACACCTTTTTTTTTACAAAGAGTCATGTTTGCATTGACCAAAATGCCTGCAGTCGGAATGCAAACAAAAAACATAACTCTGATAATGTATGCACTGTCCTTGAAGTTGATTGAGACAGCTTTCTTTAGAGCCTAGTCTCACATGGTGTTGGATCACAATGCTCCATGCACCCGCCGACCAGTGATTTTTAACGTGTCCCGTTACCGGTCGCGAGCTCAACGCTGTGACCTCATAACCTCCGCGCGTCGCGATAAACAACATCATCTCATTATCGCCCGAGATGCAGTTCCCTCCTTACGATCAATCCGCGCGCGCTAATCCGATGACGCGGCGGACAGAGGCTACCAGCGATCTGACAGACAGATAATCTGACGCAACCTCTTGGCCGTCGATGCGTTGGCGACTAATGACGGCCTCATCCGATTATCTGTCATACAGTTGGATAATCCAATAAATTGGGATGCAGAAGATAAATACGTGAACCGTTGATGGAATAATCGCTGTCGGGCAAACCAATTTCCAAGCCATTGGGAATCTGATAGCGATAGAACGGGGAGGAGAGAGGGGGGGGGGGAGGAGAGACTGCATCACTGGGAGGAATTAACAGCAAAGACGAGGCAGTGTTTAGTCCCGTATTGTTGGAATTTGAACAAGGCAAGCCTGCCTCTGCCGCGAGCATTAATGACACAAAGTGACATCGGGATTCTCGCCGTACGTTCCCTGACGTTTTATATCGCATCGTGAAATCATATTTTGCGGTCATCCCAGCAATAACAATAATGGGTCGCCGTTGTGGCGAGAGGTAACCTACCTCGCCAGGTATACAGGAGTTGGGAGATTGCGGTGTCTCTCTCTCTCTCCCCGTGGTGGCGTTTGATTTTTCTCCGGGTCCTCCGATTTTTCTCTCCATATTTAGAATCAACATCGCACCGTTTAGAGTATCTGGCTGCTGTACGTGTCCACGCGATGAGACACTTTGTCGAGCTATCATTTGCGATAGGCTTTTAATTTTCGACTAAAGCCGCAAGTGAGTCTCAAGACTGCAGGGATCCATACTCTTTGGTTCTTTCGGTAAAGTCACGTGGGTATGAAGTAAAATAAATGACAGACGCTTGTGTTGCACCCGAAACGTCGTGATTTAACCTTCTTGGTTCTTTAGGTAAAGTCACGTAGAAGGGAAATAATAAAATAATAAAAATATAACATAATAAAATACAATTCTCACGACGTTTCGGCCACAACGCAAGCAGCCGTCCTCAGGTGAAGAACAGGTCTGTCGGAAATATCTACGTGACTTTACCGAAAGAACCAAAGAGTATGAGTCTCAAGACTTTTTTTCAGGAGGGTGGCTCCTACATTGCGACGTTTGGCCATGAACTCCGTTCACGGCGTATTTCCCTTCGCGAGAGAGGAATCCGGCAAACTTCGGAGAACGCTTACACGGTGTACGAAGGGGGTAACACGCAAAGCTGCGCACGGATGGAATCAATAATCCACTGCGGTACTACCCTGTCCTGGCCACCTCGCTACCCAGTCCCATAACACCTGCGTGCGTATGCAATGCTGAACTTCTTTCGCACCGTACGTAGCCAACCGTACTAATTGGACAACAAACTAAACACACTAAAGCAGTTCTAAAGAAATGAGTCTCCAATCCGTGCCACTTAAAAGCACACGGCTGCCAGCGGCTTCCTAATATTGGAAGGAAGAGAGCGTTCCAGACGGCCGCAGAAGCGACCGTCTTTTGTTCGATGTTTAGCCAAAATCCTCTGCGAGGATGACCGGAGTTTGCACGTGACGGTGATGCTCCTTGACCAGAACAGCAATGCATTGTGGTTCCTTTGCGGCAAGCGCCTCGCGTCCAATGGGCGCGACTTTACACACGGGCAACGATGTAGCCGAGCAGGCTCAACCCTGCTCAGCTTACATCGTCCTCAGCGTCACGCCGCAGCTAAACACTGTGGCCTGGAATCGAGCCCAGGTCGCCGGACTCGAAGGGCAGTGCGCTAACCATGGCGCCACCACCCACTCACCGCTCCGCTCACACGCACACACACGGCTGCACGTGAATACAAATATATAAATAAATCCCTTTGTGGCTGCTCAAAGAAGCTTTCGCAGAGTTGTTTCAAGTTGCACGCAGCCTCCGCCCGATGACAGACTACTCCACACCGCGCTAGCGACGTCACCGTTTGCTCGCCCGCTCGTTCGCGTGCCTTGCGAGAGACCCCTCCAGCCACAAATCGTCCCACACCAACACGGGCACAAAGTTTTTATCCGCCCACTGATCTAAAAGCGTGAGTTCCACCCACCCCCCCTCCCTCACCGTTGGAGGGTGGCATTTCCGTGAGAGGAGGTGGGCTGGACTGGCTCGCTCACTCGAGCGCCACTCGCGGGGACCTGTTCACAAACGCGTCCTCCTCCTAGGTCGACCCGGCCTTAACTTTTTTTCGAAATGCCCGATGCGGCGGTGCCAAAAACACACCGGCGGTGGGGAGACGAGCATGCCTGTGGCGTGGTTCTGCTCAAAAAATGGCTCATTCGCACCGTGCCCCCCCCCCCTCTTCCCCCACCGACCCCATCCTCGTGGTGCCGTGCCGGCCGGCCTCATGGGTAGGTGCTCGTGCAGAGCACTTGCGCCCTGCAAGTCTGTTCAGGCTATAGGGAGGGTGTGATTCATTGCACAATGTGCTAACCGCAGCACCACCGCTCCCACCAGCACGCACAGATTCTCTACTTGTACTGCATCTGAATAAGCAAACGCGCGTTAACGGAAATGTAAACCGCTTAGAGAAATTAAGTTGGACACGTCACGGCGGGTAGGGATGATGGTTGTCGTTGAAGAACGACGAACCAGTCAACGTGCAACGTTGGGCGGACGTTGGCACGTGGTTGGAGACGTCGCGACCGACGTTGGCCCAACGTTGGGCTCAAACCTTGAGCTCAACGTTGGGCCAAAAAGGAACACAGCGGAGAGGACGCGGCACCAAACGAGACGGAGCGACGAAATCAGCTCGTGCGTGTGCAGGCGACGAGGATCGATAAATCGCACGAACCATGCGACGTGGCTACAGCTTGGGGAGGGCCTATCATCCAGCAGTGGATTGATCATGACAGATGATGATGATGATGGCGGTGGTGGTGGTGGTGGGGTGCCACGGTATGCAGGAGGTCGTGGGTTCGATCCTGACCCTGACGCCTGCTGCTGTATATGTGAATTTTGCATGTCTCTCTCCCCGTGGTCGCGTGAATTTTTCTCCGGTTCACGTCTCTCGATGATGATGACGATGATGACAGCATTTGTCTGCTCCTATAAATTTCCACGTGACGACAAGCCACTTTGTCGGGCTGTAATCTGCGATCGCCCGGTCGCTTCTGACAAAGAGCGATATAACATATGAAAATCTCAGTGGGCGCCTTAACTGGTTAAATAAAGTCACGTAGATTAAAAATTAAAATAATAATAATAAAATATGATAATTGGTTTTTTTACCCTTTTATCTGGCAACAAAACTGACACCTTTTTTTACAAGGAGTCATGTTTGCATTGACCACAATACCTGCAGTCGGAATGCAAACAAAAAACACAACTCTGATAATGTATGCACTGTCCTTGAAATTGATTGGTCCACACCCGAGACAGCTTTCCTTAGAGCCTAGTCTCACATGGTGTTGGACCAGATGACGCCAAAAGGCGCAATAAAATAATAAAATGAAAATAACGAAATTCATGTTATAATTTTTTATTATTTAAATTTATCATCTACGTGACTTTAATCGAAAGAACCAAAGAGTACGGAACCCTGCAGTCGGAATTGGTTAAATAAAATAAAAATAGCGAATAGCTTTTTAAACACAAGACAGAGCCTCGTACCGGTTGCGGGAGGCCAACCGCTTGCGCTGAGCAGCAGCTGCAGCAGCAGGGCCTGAAGCAGTCTCCAGCTGGCCATCGTGAACCCGCGCGGGACTTCGTCAGCAGGAGACGGAGGAGTCGGGCATAGCGCGGAGTGCGTGCGCGTGACCCGAAGCATGCGACCTCTGAACCCGCCGACCTCTGACCCCACCCCGGCAAAGGGCTCTCTCTCTCTCTCTCTCCAAGGCGTTGCTGGAGACGTTGAGGTCCGTTTAGGTCTCAGGACATGGTCAGGTGAATCCTGTGGTGGAGAAGAGGGAGGGAGAGAGTGTTTCGTCATCGTTAGTGTGGACGTCCGCCGTTGCCATCGAGATCATCAGCAGCAGCATCGTCATCATCGTCCAGTACACCCGTCGCGATGGTCCTGTTTTCGATTAGCACCCCTTGGCAACGTACGGTGCAAAACAAGTTCGGCATAAATACATACATACATCCGGTCTATCACCAGCGACCCATGACAAAATAATTCCTTGAAAAATCAAGTCGGCCACGGGGAGAAAGCCCAGGCGAATCGGTGGGTTACCGCGCCTTCAAGCGACGGTACAGGCGGGCAAGAGAAACCAACTTGCTGTACTGCCTGCTCTTCTACAGTCGGCTCGTGTGTGGGGGGGCCGACGTTTTGCGATTTGCGCGTTCGCTCGCTGCAGGCGCCGTTGAATCGTGGCCATTCGCAGGCCGCGTCAGTCGCTCGGTCGCCCGAGGACAGAGGAATGACGGGACGAACGCACGGGACGGGACGAACGAGACGAGACGAACGTAAAGGACTGAATGGGGCGAATGAATGAGGATGAATGAATGAAAATAAAAAAACGAACGAACGAACGGGACGAACGAACGGGACGAACGAGACGGAACGAACGGAGCTTCGGTGACAGACGCCCCCGCATCGCAAACGCGATGGGGGCCCCGCGCGCTCGCGCAGCAGAACGAGAATGCGTACGAGGCGGAACGACGTCGCGCATCCGGCGACCCGTCGGTAATTACGCTCGCAAATAAACACACGGTGGCGGCGGTGGTGGGGGGATTGGAGATTGTGTCGGCGCGGAGAAAACACAACGACCACGAGCGCAGCAGCAGCGTCGTCATCAACAATAACAACAAACAAACAAACACACCGCGCGGTTTCGTGAGCGGCGACAGAGAGTGGCGGGGGCGCGCTTGGAGCAAGCAGGAAACCCGAGCAGCCGAAAGCTCAAGGCGACCCAAGTAGCTCAAGGAGTGGGGGGAGGTAGGAGGAGAGGGCCCGGATTGATGGCAAAGGTAGGAGCTGAATCAAACGTCAGCTCGAACTCACTGTTATTTACTTTCTGACCCAGCCACACTGGGCGCCTGTGAAGAAGAGCTTAATAGCTTTTTTGATTTAAAGCTTTTCGTGACTGCAGGGATTCATCTTCTTGGTTCTGTCGGTAAAGTCACGTAGAAGAGAAATGAAAAAAAAAATTAAACATAATAAAAAAATAATTCTCACGACGTTTCGGCCACAACGCAAGCAAGCCGTCCTCAGGTGAAGAACAGGTCTGTCAGCATTCAGACGTTTCGGCCACAAAGCAAGCAGCCGTCCTCAGGTGAAGAACAGGTCTGTCGGAAAGACAGCGTCTTCAGACAGACCTGAGGACGGCTGCTTGCGTTGTGGCCGAAACGTCGTGAGAATTATTTGATTATGTTTAATTTTTATTATTTTATTATTTTCCTTCTACGTGACTTTACCGAAAGAACCAAGAAGATAGCTTCATAGCTCATCGGATTCCTCGTCCAGTCTAAACGAAGATTTCCGATGTTACGGAGAGATCCCGATAAACGTAGCATGGTAATGCAAACAACACGGGCAATTAATCCCAATCTCACCTGTATCTCTCTTCTCTCATCATCTCTATCGTCGTGTCTACATATCTCTCATCTCACGACGTCTCCATCTGTTGTGTAGATCTCTCTTATTGCCTCGATCTGTTCCATACATTTCTTCTATCATCTCATAAAGTATATTATCAATTGGAACAGGGCGGGCGGGCGGGCAATATCTAAACATAATTTCACCGCCACCACCGCCGCAATGAATCCCCTGACCACCAGCAATCCGGTGGCAACTATTTAAGCTTCCGGCTCAGCTTAAGTAACAAGGTGCTGCTTCGAACACCGTACATTTTTGCTTGTGTAGTTTTCATAAGGCACGGCAGCAGAAGGCAAATGGCTCTGTGACTGAAGTGGAAACCAGACTTTCTAACCACATAGGCTTTTCGTTAAATCAACACACGCACGCGCGTTCTTTCTCTTGTGCTCTACACACACACAAAGACAAATATCCCCCGTATCGCTTTTTTACAGACTGTTAGGGGCAAGTGATTTTAGCGAGGAGCACCTACCAAAGTCGACACGGCACACCACGCGCGGCCGCCTTTGTCTCCCCAGTGGCGATGTTTACACACCGCGCCGGGTACTCATTTGAGGCCGAGTCGACCTAGGGGTGGCCCCGGGAACCGGTTTCAAATAGTCGTCACCTGGCGTTGGTCGTGAGCGGGAATCGATCTCGGATCACCGGGTTCATAGCGCGGCGCGCTAACCACTACACTGCCACACGCGCTCATACACACACATGCTCGCACACACACTCACACACATACTCACACACACACATGCTCACACACACTCGCACATGCTCACACACACACAAAAGACAAAGACAAAGATCCCCCGTATAGCCTGAACAGACTGTAGGGGCAAGTGCTGTTAGCGAGCACACACATGCTCACACACACACACATGCTCACACATGCTGATACACACATGCTCACACACACACACATGCTGATACACACATGCTCACACACTCACAAACACTCTCACACACACACACATGCTCACACACACACATAAACACACGCTCACACACTTACTCACACACACTCACACACACACATGTTCGTACACACATGCTGATACACACATGCTCACACACACATGCTCACACACACTCACTCACACACGCGCTCACACACACACACTCTCAGACACACTCACCGCGGTTTCACGGCAGCCGCGGCGGTGTCAGCGAGCGACTATTCTGGTGCCGCGGTCTCGACACGGCACCTGCCCGGCTGCCCCCCTTCTGTCTCGACAGTCACCGGTCGTGTTATTTAAAGCAACGCACGTGACTCAATTTTTTAGGCCGAGCCGACCTAGGGGAAGCCCAAACATAGCTCAGACACAAATTTGGCAACAGTCCCTGAACACCCCCCCCCCCCATCACCACCGCTTTTGATTCGTAAACTCCCGAGCGAGATGACGGAAGAGATACTTAAAAGAATTTCGATTTAAAGCTTTCGTGACTGCAGGGATTCATCTTCTTGGTTCTTTCGGTAAAGTCACGTAGAAGGGAGGTAATGAAATAATAATAATAAAACATAATAATGAGAATTATTTTATTATGTTTTATTATTATTATTTTATTACCTCCCTTCTACGTGACTTTACCGAAAGAACCAAGAAGATATTTAAAAGAGTTAAAGACGCAGCGGCGAGGTGACAGGGGAGATGCAACGCTATGCACGTTTGAACTTCTTTCGCACCGTACGGAGGCAACCGTCCGAATCGGAGGCGCGGGGCGAAAAATCGGAGGAGGTGGAGTATCTGGCACCGATCTTCTGTTTCGAAAGGATATTTTTGTTTATTTTTTTTGGTGAATGAACGGCAGGAGTTCATCTTCTCGGTTCTTTCGGTAAAGTCACGTAGAAGGGAAATAAAAAAATAAAAATAAAATAATAAAACATAATAAAATAAAAATTCTCACGACGTTTCGGCCACAACGTAAGCAGCCGTCCTCAGGCGAAGAAACGGAGCTGTCGGAAAGACAGCGTCCCAATGAACACCGCCAAGCTTGGCAGCGTATATTTAAGCTGGGTTGGAGGGGGAGGAGAGCGCCTTGACAAAGGCGTTTACATATCAACAGCGGAATGAAGCTTATTGATGGGAAATGCAGATATGGGAGGAGCCTTGAGGTCATCCGTTCCAATTCTTGTTCCGGGGGGAGAGGGGGCCGCGTCCATAAATGACGTCACGCGATTTTGGACGATTTTTCACCACCCCCCCTTCCCTAGTCACATGGCGTCACAAAAAGTCAGACCCCCCCCTCGAATATGACGTCACAAAGCTCTGCCCCCCCCCCCCCCAAATAAAACATGCTTCAAATCGCTTTAAACTATTGTCATTGTAGTGCGTATTTAATGTGGCGCTGCACTCTGATGTTGCAGGAGAAAACATTTATTAAAACGTCGATTTAATTAAGTAGAACGTGTTGTCTATATTTATTTATAAAGTTGCGCATTTTGATGTGACGTCACATTTCTCAAACTCCCCCACCCCCCCCCCCCCCTCGTCACACATCGTCACAAATGTCTGCCCCCCCCCCCACCCCCCCCCTAGGTGCGTGATGTCATTTATGGACGACCCCTAGTTCAAAAAGGCACATTAGATGGCCGCCTTAGGTTTCCAAAGGTATATATCGGGGCCGACCTTTTGCTGCAAAGGCGACGACTGGACCGTGTTGTAAGCAAAGGTCGCAAACGGGTTTTGATTCCTTACCCGTAGCCGGCCGTACCAGGGTCGCAAACGGGTACCCGTACCCTACCTGATACCCGGCTACCCGTACCCGGCCGGGTATCGGGTAGGGTACGGGTATCGGTACCCGGTTGCAACCTCTGGGATGAAGCCATGTTGCAGGCGCGGGTGGGTTGATTCTAGGAACTTGAATTGTGAGAAGAGACAAGACGTTGGGAAATGAGTGACAAACGGTGACTCACCAGTGACTCACAGTCTACCCGTACCCGGCCGCACCAGGGTCGCAAATGGGTACCCAGCTACCCGTGCCCGGCCGGGTACGAGTAGCCGGGTATCGGGTAGGGTACGGGTATCGGGTACCCGGTTGCGACCTTTGGTTGCAAGGCAGCGCAAGTGCGGCTCTTCCAAGCGAGTCGTCAATTTTCGACCAATTCATCCTCCGAATAACATCACCGACAGAGCTCCCGGAGGGGGGCAAGGCAGGGCCCCCCCATCCGGTCACCCTTCGGGTCACGGCGTTCTACCAGCCCATACCCCCCCCCCACTCCTCTTCCACCCCCCAATTCCGCCGCTCCCCCCCCGCCCCCCCCCGGGGGGTTGACGGCACGCTGCCCGATGGCCGTTGAGGACGCGGCGCGGGTCATCGGCACGACCGAGCGTCCTCCTGGGGGCAGAATCCCACGCGCCCCC